TAGCCGCGCACGGAACTGTTAGCTCTGTCTGATGGATCATCAATAAAAAATGTTTATTTCTTTGCAATAATGTGAACGAGCTAAAGAATAAAATGTCTGATAAAAAACTAATCTATATGGATATAAAGTTTGTTTTTTTTATTTCTCTACTGGAACTTTTCTTCTCGTTTTCATCAAATTTCAAACCTATTTATACACTTATATTTAACTTGATTAAATGCGTTTAATTCGTAGTAATTATTTGATTCAAGTATTTATATATTTAAGTTAAAATATATGAGTCAAGTCAACATGTTGTTTGTTTGAATTAACAAATATTTGTTTGATAGCCCGTAACCACCGAATTTAGTTCAACTAATATTTTTTTGCAACAGCAACTTTTTTCTTAGTGTGGAAAAGCTAAAAAGTAAGACTTCTAATAAAAAAACGTATCTGTATGGATATCTGATGGTTTATTCCTGCACTAAACTAGAACTTCTCTTCCTTCTTTCACCAAATTTTATATACATACATCTATTTCACTTCAAGTACCGAAATGTAAATTAGTCCAGTTATAAAAAAATGAACTTGTATAATTCTTGGGGAAGTTACATTGGCATATTATTAGAATTTCGATTTTATAATCGCGAGGGACAACGATCAGAGATCGCGAATTGATATTTAATTTTACGGTACGGTTCATATACTCGTATACTGGTGTTTCAATGAAAGCGATCTCTTTCGAAATTGAGCGAATAACTTTTGTCATCAAATACACAAACATCTATTGAACACACGGTATTATATGGTACAGTAGCTAGCATAATATACCGTAGGTACCAATGCCGAATGTAATTGTGTTTGCTTTCCCCGCTGGGAGTACTGAATTAATGATCAATAAACATGCTATGCTCTCTTTATTGACTATAATGTCATACACCGCGCGATTATCGTCTGTTATATTTATCTACCTAACATTCGCACCTTTCCAGACTACCTCCAGGACTCCTGAAATTCTCCGGAAATGAAATGTCTGAATGCTTTATCAATTAAATAATATTCTGCATTTGGCACAAAATAATTTTAAGAAAATTTATGTGCAATAGAATAAGATTCTCCCTCTCTAAGAGTCCCTCATATTCTTTTGTATATAAAATAAGTTTTACCTCATCAAAATTATCTTATAAAAATAATTCTCTTTTTATATAATTTTGACGTCTTTTTCTTTACTTATAGCGACAAACCTTTCTTCAGTTGAGATCGATTCGGCAAGCGGAAAAGTACACGGGATCTACTCTCTTCTTGCAGCTATCAAATTAATTCACATATGCTCTCGCATAGTCGGTGTCCTATATAGAAGCGACGTAAGCTAGACAAGGGGGGTGGTGGACCGTGCGATGGTAAATGACTAGCTTTGATTCACGACGCCATTGAAAGCCCGTTCCTCACCGGGGACGCAAGGATATAATGGCCAGCCATATTTGGCGCTTTTCCTGGTTGTCTTGCGAAACAGCAATGCATTCGTAACCCTTCTCTCCACGTAGCGCACTAAATCATATCGAATTTTAATAGATACGGAAAAGAAATGGAAAAAATACGATTTACACGTACGTATTCTACACCGCGTGCTTTTTCTTTAGCGCGCGATTTGTTGGGAAATCTATGCTCTGCATATCAAGATGGAAACCATGTATTCGGATGCCTGTGCACGTCGAAATAAAAATACACTTCTAAAACTCGGAAACTGCATATCTAAATTCCTCGTGTCTTGAACTAGATGGTATTCAACATTCTTCCATTCACGTATCGCGCCTGATATCACATGCACACATTCGGAAGAATATATGAGATCGATATTCCCTGAATTTTTCCCCGTATATCTTATATATCATGCTTTTGAAACGAATTGGAAAAATGGGTTTTATCTCTAAATAAAGATAGCTTTATCGATGTTATAAAATAGCTCGGGAAAGTATCTTAAAAATTATTCCATCGTAATATTATTTTATCGACAATAAAAAATATTAGAAAAACATTTCTCTTGAAAATTATTTAATAAATGGTTTATATTTCATAAAGATTTATTTTATTTGTCCTTCTGTTTTTATTTATTTCATTTATTCATTTATGTATTTCATAAAGAGCTACTTTTATCAGGATTTCCGCAAATTGAATTCTACATAAAATGCAACAGTAAGCAAGATTGTACTTGGTTTTAAATCAAATTAATCGTTAATGTAAAGTAAAAGTAAATAATAATAATAATAAATGGAAAAAATTTACTAATATGAATAACAAAAAAAAGCGAAAAGAATCTGATTCTTGATGCCTGTACCAGGAAAGATTTCTGATTGAAAATGAACATATCAATCAGAATTTTGGTTATCTCAACTAAAATTATAATAGATTCAACCAAAAAACTTGCAATCCAATTAGACTCTTTGTCCAATGTAATAATATTTTTAAATAAATTTTATAATTTCCAGTTAATGCAAACAACTACACATGGATTAATTTTCAATTTAAAATTAATTAAATAAATAACATATATTTTAATACATAAATAAATAAATTTTTATCATTTTTTTAAATCAATATATGTAGTATACTGTAAATAAACGATTTATTATGACTTAGAAACTCGTTTATTTAACAGTGCCTGCAATATTTAAATTAAATTACCATTAATGTTTGTAACTCATTACCGCTGTCTGAGGGGATTTTGCGACCAGGCGAAGTTGGTTATTATTGGTATATTGAATTTTACGTACACCGAGTTTTAATAAATGAGAAATCCGTGTTAGTCGTATCATCGATTCGACATCTTACAAATGCATTTAGACTTCTTGATTATCGATTCTCAATAATTACCTCCGGTTGCGCAGATTCATTAATCTGCTCTTTTTAGTCATTAAGAAAAAAAGGATAGGAAAGTATCCTTCGACCTGTATTTACGAGAAGTACTAATCGATATTGCATTTCCGCCGATTCAACCGCGCTCGCGCGCTTTCGGAAGTTTAATTTTTTAGCAGACTTGGTAATACCGCGCTCGTGTGGAATCCGTTCGGCTACATCCCGCCGCGAATTTTTCCATCGCAATTTATCTTTCAAAGAATATCGGGTTGGCTTCTATTTTTTATCATCCGATGTCGCGCTTATTTTCTTCATATATCGATTTTTTCACAAAGCGGATTTTAGAAATTTTTAAATGGATCTTTTACGATTACATTTATAACAATTGTATCTAGAAAAATTGGCAGAGCGTGAGAATGTACTATAATACAGCGTTGCAATTTCAAAAGAGACAAAAATAACAAAGTCATTATCCGCTTTTAGGAACTTATTATATAAATAATGGCTGATTGCGCTATTATTTTATCGTATAAATAATGGTTGATTGGGTTATTATTTTATGGATTTAAGAAAATTGGATTGGAAAGATGGGAGACTGAATGAGTTGCTTTCGAGAGAAATAAATGGGTCACAGTTAATTGGGCCGCCGGCATGTCCCGTTTATCGAATGTTTAATTTGTCTCGTTACGATGCCGGCACGTAATTAATTTCAATTAATTATATCGTCATTCCCGGGTCATCCTCCGCTCTCATTTTACGGCAATGATTCTACGTACAGTTTATTCGCGAATAAAATCACGTACGCCAATATGTAGAGTTTTACGAGAGGGCCGTGAGCGCCGCGTGCCCGTGTCACAGACGCGGTCGCCGACTGCATTGCGGTTATAATTAATTGGCAAACTGCAAATTACATGATAATTCTAATTATTTGTCGCTTTGTAAAGCGATTGCTAGGATAATGGCATGATTAGAATTTCATGATTGTCTGTGCGCGTTTGTGGTTACCGGAACTGAAAATCCTGGGATTGCAGTTATAAGTATCGTTTTACTTGTATACTGCCGTAGGATAAATCATATAATTAGTCAATAACACAGATAACCGCGCGAACTTATGAATGTCTCTCAAATCTTAAAAATGTTTCTGCTTTACCAACTTCGTCGCAAAGTATACTTATTTCTTATGAAATTCAATATATTCTTGTAACATCTTTAATGATATTCTACCAATTACTTCTTAAATGAACGTTCTTGCTAGATGAGATACAGAACTTCCAAGAAAGTATGAACTTTAGGCGATAAAATTTAACTTGCGAAAACTTGAAAAATTTATTAAATTGGAAGGCGCGCATTAACTTTGGAAAATCAATTGTTTTTCAATAATTAATATGCTAAAAGCGGATATTTATATTAACTCCGATATCAAATTTTTCATTATTGCAAATTGAATAAGGACACTGATTTCAAAATCAATTGAATGTGAATCATTTCAAAGCACAAATTAGCAATCAGCTGTTTCGAGATGTAACGATTACTTAAAACGCATTTTACGTATCAATTTTGAAATGAATTTCGATTATTGGCTCACACAACTCTACTAATGGCTTCTCCAAAAGGAAAAAAGAATTCATTATGAGAGAAAGCGGATACTGAAAAGTGCATCGATTTATAATTAACGTTCGAACTGATTTCTGAAATTGATTCGCTCTTTGTGAATTGTATCTATCTGTTGAAATATGCAAGCACTTTTAAAGGCATCGCAAATCTGCGATTCAATTATCTAGCAAAAATAATTTCTTTTTCACTTATTAGCTTCTTTAATCCCTTTCTCATTAAGAATTAACGTCAGGAATAACCTGCGTGTATTCAGCTTTGCAAAAAATGTAATGGACATCTACGGGATTGCTACAAAAAGTTATTCAATTTTACATTTATGAAAATTCAAAAATTTAACAAAATTTCCAAATTAAAACGTGCAATTTTTCTGTTAAAATTAATCAGCATATTTAATTATGCGATTACTTCGCTTTCATTAAAATATAGATTTTGTTTACGATTTTATTGAGCATAACGATATTGCGATATAATTGACTGTTACTAATTCACAAGCATAATTAAAATGTAATACTATACGTAGCTGGAATGTTTTTGATATTGTTTGTTCTACTCACTTCGGCGGGAAAAGCATAGTTATTAATACGATGCTCGGAACCATGACCATCGTCCATTCCGTAGTGAATATATATTTCTTCGAACTGATAGTGATAGGCGAGAGGACCACCCGTTATATTGACTCGTATCTTCGCCTCCCTGTCTGCTCTGAATACCAGGAATTGCCCAGTATTATGTAAGTGTCCGGAAATCTGAAAGCAAAATTGATTGTAGTTTGTTAGTATCAATAACAAACTTAGTCAGCAGAATGCAATTAAATAGATTCATTCGGACAGCAGTCTAATTGCATTAATTGATTGATACTGCAAATGAAAAGAAAGTTCGTTATGTATTCACAAAATTAATTCGTATCCTCTTGAGTAATAACAAAGTGACAATAAATGTTTAAACTGTAATAAATATTATTAGAAAAATTAAATAAAAAAAATTTTTAAGTTTAATAATATTTTTAAAAAACAAGTCGTTAAATTTACAAATTATAAGGTAATATATCATGGACTACATAGTTTCGGTATAAATTCATTTTTTAAATAAGTCTTTTTTATCAGACTTTTGTTGGACAATGTAAAGAATTTTTAACACTAATTCGATGCACTTTAGAACGAGAATCGCAAACAATGAGAGATTCGCATGCCTTATCGTAATGAGCTGCATAAGAGCGCGGTTGCAAAGATGTCTACAAGAAAGGGCGGCAACTCGTCGTCCGCGGGATAATTGATTAGGCATTTAATTGGATGGAATAGCAAAACCAGACACGGTGCCATGTCGCACAGGAGCTCCGGCAAAGTGCAAGACGAGGCCGGAGAAGTCCATTTTCTTGTACGTCGCCGAGAACCTGAATTATGGCGTCATCAGTTAGAAATAATGAGGTAACCTCGAAGAGAAGCCAGCCGCGGAAGACACGTCGGCAAAAGTCGTCGGGAGATAACTTATTATTTTGCAATAGATTTTTGGCCCCTTTGACCTCCTTTCTCTACTCTGATCCTTCTCGTCTTTTGCGCACGACGATTCTTTCTCTCTCCCTCTCTTTCTCGCAAAACTTACTACATTAATATAGAATCTTTTTAAGATATCTTGTACTCAATAAAAGATGACTCCTACAAAAACTGAAGCCAATATTTCGCCGTTACATATAAAAATATTTTTTAACCTTTTATCACTTTTTAAAACAAATTTTATAAAATGGTAAATCATTTAGGTACAACAAATTATGATATTATAAAAAAAGGATATAAATTAAATAAATAATACGTGTAAAAATTATATAATTTATAGTAAAAATGATATAATTCATAAATATATAAAATCGTGCATTTAAAAAAAATTAGTACTGTTGTGTCTGTAAATATATACTTTATATTAGACAGAAAATTGTTGTAATTTTACATGTAACTTTTTTTACAGTGTACAAGTTACAATAATTTTGTGTATCGCAAATTTCAATGAACGCATAATTCTCTCTAAATTTAATTAATCCCACATCGATCGTTACTCTCGCTTCCTCGCTGTTTCCTCTCGAATTCATTAAGATATGGGAGAGTGGCGGCTCTCCTTACGATGACAGAGAGAAATGAACATGAACAGGCGGCGCGACGGCTTTTCCCCGACGCGTAGAGGGAGAGTCAATGGTGCATAACTCATTATTTCGCGATAGATTTCCACCCTCCAGTCGCCAAGAATTATTCGTCCGCCCCCCTCGTCTTTTTCGTTCGCTCAAGTTCCTTTTTCTCTGGTACCACCGTCTCCGAACTTGGATCAATGGAAGGAGACTCAGTGAGAAACCGGAAGGAAGACTCACAGCGGAACACGGTAGTTCCGTGCGATTTCGAATGGGCACACAAAAGCCGCCCTTCTTTCAACGAAACTCAAAGTTCGGCCGGGAGTGGATCATCTTCCATCCTTACACCCCCGTCTTGTGAAGCTACCCCTCTCGTCGGTCGTTCTGCGAAGTCGTTCGCTTCGGTCCGAACAATCGTCATTGCGCATTCTGGCCGGCTGCCGTAGAATCCACTCCCATTTTGTTCCCACAAGAGCTGCAGAATTCACGAGCGACGTTGGGTAATGGCGGTCGAAGGGAAAGTAGGAGGGAGACATCGAGATATAAGAAGCGCGTGGTGCCAAATCTTCTTAAAGTTCATCGACTTCGCGACGCGGCGATGTTTCACGATTAATACCGACTCTACCGACAACTTCCTTTTTCAGGTAATGGGAATGCCGGTTGGGAGAAGTCATGAGAATAATCGAGTTTCGCAGGAAAGGGTTGAAAGGAGCGAGAAGGGAAGTGCTTAGTTAAGAACGCCGCGCTAGACTCTTGATGTAAAGTCTGGTTCCCGTGGAGTGTTTACGAGATTGCCGAAACTCGCTAAATCCGTTTTCCATACGGACTGCAATTTCGCGATTACGCTCCAGGAATTCGGGAACTATGAAAAATGGATTTAGTTGCATAATGTACGAAAGCTGACAGACGTTATATTTGGCTCCACGAGTTTTCCCATTGCGATCTTTATTCGCGTGACCAAAGGCCGAAGTGTATAGAAACGAACAATGCCTAGTCAGACGGTGATTGGGTCTTTCCGTTAATCGGAACATTTTTCTCTACGTAAGCTCTACAAAAAAGCGTCATGCTTAAAGTACAGAATGCAAGTGAATCTCCTCTCGGTGACTGACAGAAGAAAGTTGAAAAGTTTTTTTATCTACCCGGACAAATGACTAAAAGACGTCATAGAGGAATCATAAAGATGTCTTTTGGATAACATTTAGGGTAAACTCGGGTATGATGGCCATAGTTTTTTAAAATGCAAAAAACATACATTTATTTTTGTTACTTTTTAACAATATTTGGGATATTACTTTCATTGAAGCTAGTAACAAATACTATTGAAATTAAAGACAAAATACTTAATAGAACTTTAATTTTATCAAAATATTATAAAGTATGCTTTGGCCATCTTATCTGATTTTTAGGGAAAAGATGGCCATGTGTGATATTAAGAAAGATAGCCATAGTATTTATAAATAAATAGTGAAAATAAAAGTATTAATTATAGGTCACATTGCAATTTACCTTTATTGTGCATGTAATGTTAATTATGGCAGCTTAACTGTAATTTATTAGACATTATAACAGTTTTTAGCAGACACGTGCAAAACTTTGCAGATAGTCGAAAGAAAAAATATTTGATAATATTTATAATATTGTTATTTTGAACAGTGTACTCATATGAACTACTGTAAATATTGATTATCTTTAAGAATGACTATAAAAATGCACTATTTATCAATTATTGAAGAAATTATGGTCTATGGCTATCTTTTCCGAATGGCCATAATACCCTAGTTTACCCTATGTCTAAAAGACATCATAAAAACATCTTCTAAACATATTGCGTGTTGTTTGGGCACAATTTAAAATTTCATAATACGAATTGTACAATCGTCTAACATTTTCACTTTGAATGACCGATTGTTGTAGCCGAGGATTAAGCGTTCCACATAACTATTTTGTTGATTCAAGACATTATTTTCAGATCTGTATTTAGCAGAATTTTTAGATACTTCAGCAAAACCGTTCTTTCCGTGTACACCAACCAGCAGAATTAAGCTTCCGCGTGAAACGAAGGAAATCAAGGTAGTCGGAGGATTAGTGGAAATGCCACGAAAGACCTCCAAAAGCCGGTTACGGAGTCCAACATTGTCCGGTAATTAACACGAATCGAGCGACCATCGGAATCGCCCCGCACGCGACTCACGTACGTTCATCCCCCTCCCCCCTCCCCCCATCCCTTGTACTCGGAATGCGAAAAGCTCGCCTCGCTCGCGTGCCCCTTTCCCGCACAGTTAACTAACAATCCGCTCTGTTTATAGAACAGTTAAGGTCGTTTCATGCGCCGCGACAGTTTCTTACACCGTTCTACGATCGGGTTTATCGAAACGTGCCGCTTCAATTATGGCTGCGCCGACCACAGAGGCACGTCCGGGAATTGGCAATTCCGGCGCGACGTAAGAGAACGCGCTCGTTACAGCTTCGATTATAGCAAGTCCGGGGTATACACATACAATTCGCTAGTTTCGCGAGGGAATTGTTCGTGCGAAGAAACGTACTATGGTATCGACGGGCCGTTAGCAGCGGCTTTAGTGTGCGCCAGAGATAGAAGTAGCTCGTAAAGGCCTGATGCCGTTCCGACCGAAATCTACTCGATCACTTGTTGCAATAAAATTACAGGCAAGTAACGCCGATATATACAGAATGGCTAAATTTTACTTTACAAAATTTCTACATTACTTTCGTTACTTGCTAGATTACTTTAAAATTTATTAAAATTTCTTTGTTACAATTATTTATAATTCTTTAAAAATAATCCGTTGTAATTAATTAAATTTTCTTCATTATAATTAGAATTTATTACAACTTCAATTTGTAAAATAATGCGAGCCAATTATTTAACTGTATTGTTGTTAAATAAATTAGTAAAATATTTATGATTGATATGTGCTTTAAATAATCATACATAGAAGAAACAGTCATGGTTGAATTAACAAGATATGTTTGATTAAGCTTTGATGTAAGTAAACAGAATTTCTGATGACTAAAATCAAATATTTTGGTAGGCAACCTTTAGGTATAATATCGGTTAGAGTTTGATTAATGCATATGTAGTAATAATATCCAAATATCTGATTATTATAATTACAAGGGAAAAAGAGCATGGTTGAATTAACATGATAAATAAATAGTTTGATTATTGTATACATAATTCAAGTTAATTCAACTAATTCTTTTCAATGTAAGACCTTTTACTGTTTTACATTGAGAGAAAAAAATGGTTGCGATTAACTATAATATACATAATTTAACTATAATTTATAGCTATTTTTAGAACAATTATGTATTTATAATTGTTTAAATCGTGCAAATAATGTGCTATTAACCCTTACCGTACCATCTACAATTTAGTGCCTCATCCATACCATCAAGGATCACTTCAAATCTCTTCGTTTTTCCACCCCTTCAAAATAATTAAAAAAATCTCTAAAAATTCACCAACATACTTTCAACTTTCTAGAATAAATATTGACTCTTTATTTTGGAAAATATAAATAAAACGTAGTATAATTTATAATTACCGAAAGACTCAAAGAAACTTGCACGAACAGGAGTCCCTCGGTCACGAGTTACCCATATTAGTACGGT